TATTGCTAAGTTTTTGCTCAGATTATTAGTTAATTAGTTTAATTCCCTTTGAAAAAACCCAAATCGTTTCCTGCATTCACCAGTTTATGCCACACCAGTTCTTGCTGAGTCAGCAGTCTCTTCGGTAGGTTTATGGACCAAACCTACATGATCAGAGCTGTAAATCAAACCTGCTTAATTCAGGATAGGTTAACAGGGTTTGGATTTAGCAGCATTCTTTCACAGCGTTATCTTTGGATTATACATATGGACCATATATGGACATAGTCTTGATATCATAATTCCCTTTATCACCATTTATCAGAGTGGTGTCCGACTGGTTTTAAGTGGGTGGTAATTTGAGTTTAGATAGGATGGTGGGGTGGCAGTGGGATGGGGGGCCATATTGTGTGTGTGTGTGTGTGTGTGTGTGTGTGTGTGTGTGCATGAGTGCATGAGATGAGATTATTGGGTTGTATTATTGGATGTGCTTTTAAATATTTCTCAGGTCATTTACTTGAAAGTGTAAAGACGGGTGTTTTAATGTGCTTTCCAATGTGTTTTATATGTAAAGCACCTTGTGTTGCCTTCTGTATGAAAGGTGCTTTTTAAATAAATAGATAAATGGAAATGTATTGATCAAAATCCTACTTTCCCACTCCCCATCAAATTGGACTTAAACAGTGCTACATGAATGCAGAATGAAAAGAGCGTTTTAGGACTTTGAAGACTGGAAAAGGCTGGTGAAGCTCACTAATTGTGTCCAACAGTCATTTCTCACCATAAATCCAACCATAGCGACTCTGTCACTCCTTATAATAAATCCACACGGCCCCTTTAAATGATGCTCATCAGTTCGGGTTTCTCACATATAATTCAACATAAAATAGCGTATATAACGTTTAAAAAAAGATAAATTATACTGCCCGGCCAATGCAAAAACAAATGGTAATATGGATAGATTGATTTTCCACAAACCACGGTGCTGCGGTGCTGGGACGTGTTAATTCTGGGCCCTTATGTTTGAAATGGATCTTAAGGTCAGTGGTCAGGGGGTGTGTTTCATTAGTTTCTGAGACTGGCTCGCAGGTATAAGGCTCGCCACACAGTGACTTATGGCTGTAATTTAGCCTTGATTACATATACCATTACTTTCCCTCTAATTAGACTGTCACTCAGGGTATTCGGACAAACTAGCTGGAGGGGAATCAAACTAAATGTAGGGCTGATGATAAATATGTTGATTTGAGAGCGGCTCACGCTGCAATAAAAGGTTTCTGAGGCTGATGATGCACACGTGGGGTCACAAAAACCAAAAAAATGATCAGTGTTATGGGGCGATTCATCTATATATCTTATAAAAATGAAGCAGAAATACTTTGATACATTTTAGACGTTGTCCCTTCCTACTTTGGGATGTAGGGCTGTGTTAATAATCTTGCTGTTGGATAATGAATCACTGTCTGGGCGCTGGCCCTGACCCTGGGGTCACATTTTATGGACGAGCACTTCATCACCGCACAATCCGCTGAGCGGCTGCAGACAAAGGACTCACAGCCTCACCTGCTGACCTCGCCTTGTGATCCGTGGACAGCGATTGGAGAGTAAAATAAACAGACTCCGGCTGGATGCACAATAAGTATTCGTCCATCTCTAACTAAGAAAGAAAGTCAGAAATGTTTGTCATCTCAAAGCAGAAACGAGTATAAGTTCGTAGGTAGGAGGAAATAAGCTGATGATTATTCCTAAATGCCACCAGGGCTTTTCCATCACCTCCTCTAACCTCCTCTTTTTTGCTGTACTGGCATTTAAATGTTCCAAATGACACTACATGTAATGACTGTACACATTCATGATTTCCCCATGGACACTTGGATATGATTCACAATAGCTGTAATGATTAATCGCAAAATATTTGGTATTTATTTAATATTTGACTGAAAAACCTGACCAGATGTTCACTGTAAATGTAAATCCAAACTGTTTCACGTGAATGTGACACATTCTGTAAACGACCAATGACACGAACTGGATGTTGAGAGGAAAATTTGAAGTTTTTTTTTAAGGTACAATGATTTTTTGCTGTCTCTTTGGCAAGAATTCACATTTATGTTCAGCATCTAAATGGTCTACTATGTGCTAGGTCCTTTTTGATATGTGCATTATCATTAAATTCACACCAAGTCTTTTTGTATTTAACTTGCATTATTTCATATTACAGAAAGATTGAGCTTTTTTGTGTTGCTGATGTGGAGACAACCAGTCATTACGTGTGATGGAGCCTTTTCTCTAAAACAGCCAACATGATGAGCTAATATCAATGATTTTCAGACAGATGATTGTGCTTTTCATCTCAAGATGAGACGAGTTAAGATGGATGGTAAGATCCAGTCCAATCTAAACAGATCACGATTTGTCTTTGTGTTGTGTTTCCTGTTCTTTTCACATTTCAATGACCTGTTACCATCAGACAGGGCAAGTCAAACCCTCAGTCAAACATTTCTTTTCCAGTTAGTTTCTTTTTCTTTACTGATTCTGCATGGGTTTTTCGACAAAGTGTCATAACATTTCTATATATAAATCTATATATATAAATCTATATATATGACTATATAATGTCAGTCACCTCCTTTTGGATTTCCAATTAGTGACAATTCTGTCAATAATTGGCAAAAAAAAAGCTAATGACACAAAAATAGACATAGCTTCGACAATGTCCTTCACCTCAACACTTTGTTTCACTCCATCGTAGAGCAGATAATTTCCTATTTCAGTTTCTTTCCCAAGCTAGAGTAAAGCTGATGGACCAACAATGTGGCAAACACAAACAAAAGGAGCCTGTAGCTCAGATTGTTCCACTCGTTTGACCCCAGGTTGCAGCAAACACTGATAAAACAGAGACCATGAAAGGTATCTGGATACAAAGAGAAAGGTCCAGCAGATGTCCAATCAGGAGCCTTCTTATTGAAAGGTGAAAGAGCTAATCAGGGCAGCACCATGCAAATGATATAAACCACACCCATGTTGTTTATTTCAGCTGTTTCTACCATAAAATACTAAATAAATAACCCGAGATTAAAGCTTTTTTTTGTTCCTTGATCCACTCTATCCTGATGGTCAGAACATGGTCTCCACGTTTGATCAGGGCTCAGTTCCTAGCTTGTTTGACCATCAAAAATATCTAATATCCACGTGAATCCTAAGTAGCCTGAACATGTTCTGTATCGTCCTTTTATCAAACCAGTACAGGTGTACTAATGATGGCTATATTCCATGTTAGGGAGGATTCCACTTGACCAAACTGAGGCCCAAACAAAGGATGAAACATTAAAAAACTATGCTAAATTATGCTGCTTTTTCCCTCATGTCGCATCATCATCAGCTTCAGTTGTGTCTGCTGGCATTCATGGAAGGTGAGCCCGAGACTTATTGAGAAATTAACTCGCCCTGTCGATGACAACAGGTCAATGAAGTGTTAATGAAACCAGAAACATAACAATAGAAAGACAAACAGGCATCTATTTTTATCAGATTAGATCTGACCACCCGTCTTCACTCATCTCAGCAAGGTGGAAAAAGCACAATTACTGTATGAAAACGAATCTTTGTGGTCGGAATTTAGATTATCATTATCCTGTACCTGTGAGGAAGACTACATTTCTTCACATGCACATAAAAAGCAAAGCCAAACAACACAAAGTTGTGTCTCCTAATTGAAATCTGTGTCCACTGCTGGACAATGCAGAGGTTTTATGCCACCGGTCACATCTGCCGGGGGATAATGATGGGGGTAAGCCAAATGGAACATGAAGTCCGTGTGTGAGTTTTTTTGGAGTGTGTGTGAGCTCATTCATGCTTGTGGGTTGGGAGGGGGGGTGGTAATGAGTCTCCTATGAGCTATTACCCCTACCTTAGCTCCACACTCCGCTATAATAAAGGCCAACATTGCAGAGCTTCCTACCGGGAGATTTCAACACAACGCCCCCCCCCCCTGCTGATGCAAGTGGGAAACATTATGCTTATGACACGCAAACCTCTCCTCAGATCGGAATCGTAAAGCGTTGCATCGATGGATTCCAATGAAAAGGCCTCACGGTGCGTTCGAGGGTTCGCAGGACTAACCCTGACAATTACTTAATGTGTGAGCGTGCAGAGGGTAGTTTGAGGTCAGGATAAGCAGGCTATTGGCAGGTGCTCTCCAGAATCTAATGCCGTCTGATTACTGAGCCAATTACGCCAAAGGTCTTAGACTGCCGAGTATGAGCTGAATCTGATAAACCCAAATCCAACTGGCGCCCAGTGACCGTCCACTGATAAATCCCCTGCATGTATATTTTACATATACGTTTATTTAGCCATTTATGATGGTGGTTGAGTAGATAAGAGGAAGAAGTTGCAGAAAATCCAGTCCAGCAGCTTAGTTACATAAGAGGTAAGAGCTAATGGCACGTTGGAGGTGGTCTTTGGACTCTATTCATTACATCCACAGATCCCCTATATCAAACATAGAGGAATTAAACGTGCTTAAGGCAAGGGAAACCAAATAAACGCGCGCGCTTGTGTGAGAAGGATGGGTGGGTGTTTTTTTTTTTTTGAGGGTGGGGGGGTGATATCCCAATCCAATCCTCGAGAGATTAGCCGTTGTGGAGAGACAGAGAGAGACAGAGAGAGATAGAGAGAGAGAGAGAGAGGGAGAGCTTTCCCGTGAAGTGAAACACGCACAGAAAGAAGAAGAGGAGTACCGGACAGCTTTGTGCTTCTCCCCACGGTGTCAGCGTGGAAAAAGTGGCTGATCTCACATCTTAACGTTTGGCTGATTTACTGCCAGGCCAAGCGCGCGCTGCTTTGGGGCCGTTTCGGGGTGCGCGGCGCGCTCCAGAGGCGCGCCATGACGCCGAAAGAGCGCAGCGGCGCGCACTGAGCCCAGAGTTCCCCAGAGTTAGAGGCATGCTGCCGGGGCCGGGATGTGAGCGGGACTCGTGATAGAGAATGGCCCCTCTCCTGGCGCCGACGACAGAGGGATGGCCGCTTTTCACCTCAGCCAGCACCCCCACGCGGGCGCGGACCCGCGGCGGCTCCTCCACCGGCTCACCGTGGCCTCCCTCCTCAGCGTGCTCTGCTTCTCCATGGTCTACCTCCTCACCGGGTGCCGCGAGTCCGAGCTGGCGGACAACTTTGACATCAAGCCGCCCGCGCGCGACTTCCCGGCGTCGGGCTCGGGGTGGGCGCACGAGGGGAACGGCACCGGCGCGGTCCGGGAGAGCCGGGACCGGGCCGGGATGGAGAGCAACAGCTCCGGGAAAGAGTGGACGGCCACGCGCAGGCTGCCCCAGGCTCTGATCATTGGGGTGAAGAAGGGGGGCACCAGGGCGCTGCTGGAGTTCCTGCGGCTGCACCCGGACATCCGCGCCCTGGGCTCAGAACCGCACTTCTTCGATCGGCATTACGCACGAGGACTGGACTGGTACAGGTAGGCGCGCGCGCTGCACGACGCAGCACCCAAACCAACCCAAAACATTCTAAAAAATTAGAAGTCTGTTTTTTTTCTTTAACAGATTTATAAGATAAACATTCAATGGACAAATGTGTGTTTTTATGGCACAAGTGCGCACTTTCTCCTTAAGAAGAGACTACAGTTTTATAAAATACCTCTTAAAATACAAACTGATCCAGATTGATATACGTATTGCATCTTTTTTGTGCTTTAAATAAAACGTGCGCTGGCACATTGAAAGGCATGCATACCCTAACATATCCACACTTATTCTGTGGGGGTTTAGGTGACAAAGAGACTTCGCCATCTGGCTTTGTCAATCTGTGCATCAGAACACGCGTGTGCTTATTGTGGACGTGTGTGTGTGTGTGTGTATGTGTGAGAGAGGGAGTGTGTTTGAACAGGAGAGAGAGAGAAAGAGAGCTAGGTCTGTGGAATGAGTTCTCAGAGTGCAGCAGAGTAATCAGCTCTGGAGCCGGAGCCAGATGTTACTGTTGTCATGTGGCTCTCTTCTTGGCCTGATCCAGGAAAACTTGGAAATGTTCAATGCACACACACGGAAGAGGTTCAGTAAACTCACTGATGCCACTCAAAGATGGTTGAGGGTAATTTGGGAGGATTAAGGAAAAGTTTCCACTGTTATTTTGTGCCATCTGTACCAGCAGTATATGCACATATAACAGATTCCAACCATTAAAACAAACTTTACCTTACAATTAAATTGTTTTGTAAAGATAATATCAAACTGAATCAAGGTTTATTTCTCACATACATCATACATGCACTACCGGCAGTGAAAGTCATTAAAAAAAATGTAAAACATAGACACTAAAATTAAAAAGGAGATTTTAAAATTTAAAAAGAGTACACATGTAAATATATATGAACATATATATGAACAATGTAAAGTGTTCCAGTACAGATATAAAGTGACCAAAGTTGTGCAAAAAGAATGGAGCATATTTGTGTCACACATGGAAAGGGTCATATATACTAATCGAACATATACAGATATACACATACATGGATAAACATATAGATATACATGCATGCACAGCATACACATGTATGAAAATATACACATTATGAATGTATTTATATATATACACACATATGTATGAGTTCAAAATACATTTGACCTGGTTGCTGCATCCATTAAGAATTTGGATGCTTCCATGTGTCTGGTCATTTCCTGTTTTATTTTGAAAGATACATCCCCTTGTTTCAGGCCACTTGCACCCCCCTGTGTGTCACATGTCTTCCTGATCACCTATTGTGTTCACCTGGGGTTCCCTTTCCCTCATGTGTTCACGTTTCCCCTTGTTTGGTGCCAGTGTGTTCCATCTTTTGACCTCTACTGAGGATTAATCTTGTCCTCGAACCAAACCTTGCCTTGATTCTTGTTATACCTCGAAGGAGTGATTTTGTTTTCTGATTCTTTTAGTTTTGTCTGACTCTCGTGAGTATTATTTTATTACTTTGTTTCAAATCCTTTTTGCCATCCTCGTTTATGAGTGATTCTGATTTGATACTTTTCTGAAACCATCCTCGTTTTAGGAGTGATTCTGATTTGATACTTTTCTGAAACCATCCTTGTTGATTGATGTTATTTTTTACTTTGTTTCCACTCCTGGAGAGTGCACCCTGAGTTAGTAAAACCTTTGTCTATTCGATCTCCGCATCTGGGCCCTGTTTGAGTACCTCCTTGTCAGAGGGCGGTTTGAAAATCCATCACCGCCTAAAGGTGATGCAGATGCTCACGGGTCTTCTTTGCCAGTGTGGTGACACGGCACACGGACGTCCTCTGAGATGTGGACTCCAAGCTACTGTACCTGATTCTGTGCACACGTTCCACTGCTTTTCCCTGGATCTCAACAGGGTGATAGCTCCTGTCCTGCTCAGTGCTATGGTGCACTGTTAGCTACTTTGTCTTGACACCAGAGATTGTTGACACCAGCTCTTTGGGTGCTTCATCTTTTCCAAGTAGACCCTCTCATCATTGTTGGAGATGAGGCCTATCACAACAGTGCTGTTAGCGACTGTGACTATGGTGGTAGAGCTGGAAGTAGTCCCCAAATCGTGTGTTCACAGTGAATACAGCGGGAAACCCAGGACACAGCCCTGGTGGGCTCCAGTGCTTAGGGCGGGAGGAGGTGGGACATGCTTGCCTGCATGCACAGTTTGTGTTCTGTCAGATCAAAAGTTGGAGATCCAGAAGAACAAGGATGAATGAAGTCCCATGTACTCCAACTTAACTGTTATAGGAATAACCCTGTGGTCCACAAATAGCCTCTGGACATAATTACCCCTCTTGGCATCCAGGTGAGAAAAGTGCAGTGAGAAAGAGGCATGCGATGGCGTCGTCCGCGAAGTGGTTGTGGCGGGAAGCAAACTGTAAAGGAGTCTGGAGGTGAGGAGGAGATGATGAAGCCTCTAATGGTCTTCATCACCACTGAGAAACCACCGGGCGCCCGTTGGAGCCGGCCGGCTGGGATGTCCTCTGGACAGGAACGATGACGGGTTGTTGGAAGCATGATGGTACGATGTATTGGCTCAGGAAAGAGTCCAAGATGTCCTTAAAGCTGGTCAGAGCAGATTCTGATGACGTGTCCGGCGATGTATTCAGGGCCTTCTGCTTTCCTGGCATTCGGTATGACCCTTTTCTTCGGGGAATCAAGCAATTCCGGTCACCCAGCCTCTCAAATGGCAACAGTTATGGGCCTGCACACCCGTTTCTCAGTGGATGTCCCAGAAAAAATGGCTAGGTTCAGCTAATAATTGAATGCAGTTGTAATGTGACTGGATCCAAATCTGTGGCTAAATCACTTGTCGTTACACAGCTTATTGGTATATCACTGGGGATTGCAGCGTGAGCTCAGGGAGCTCTGGGTGTTACACTTGTGGTAACAACTTAATCTTCACGGGTTATACAACAGGAGCGTGGAAATCTTCTTTCTCGGTGGTTATTCTGTGTTGACAAACTACATTTACAGACAGGGAAAAAAACACCAAATGCACCAAAGCCGTGGGATAAAGCCTGAGCCTGGAAATCCCTATCCGGAAGTATTGGAAAACCACTCTAGCCTATCCGTCTGTTGTGCGCGTGTATGTGCGTTGCCCCAGGTGATGTGCATGTGACAGCAGATTGTCACGTCCTTTCTGGAGCCAGATGGGCCTCGTTGCACGCTGAACCACTTGACATCGCTGTCAGCTCTGTCAATTGACCTCTGACTCCAGGTCACTTTACACTGCGAGTTAATGATGTGTTCACACCACTTCATAACAAAGCACACCCCCAAAAAAACACAGACTGACAAAGGACACAGTTTTTTTCTCTCCTTTTTAAATTGATGTTGGGTTTGAAGTGGTAGCGGTAAACAAAAGATCAATTCATACAATGTTTGTAAAGTTGGAAGAAAATCGTGTCCATTCTTCACATTGATTTTTAACGTTTTATTTCACATCCTTCCTCTGAAGAAACAGGCGCAAATAATTCATGTTCGATTCTTGTTCATCCTCCTTACAAAATGATACAAACATGGTGGCATTATAACCATAATATATATCAAATAAAACACTAAATTGGCAGAATCGTTCAAGAAACACACTATCAGAAAATAGGGACTCTAATAACGTGAAAATGTGTACGGGTGGATTTGATTTTAGGAATGTAGATCTTGAATCGTTGATCTTATAACTTTAAATTAGTTTTTTTTCAATAAAGCAAATAAAAAAGTAAGCCAAGAAAGATAAAAAAATGAACAAAACAAAGAGACAAGTTGATCTGTTGTTTTAAACGTGGTAAAAGACAAATGTGCTCTCATTAAAGTTTCTCATATTTGGACCTATTGTTTTATTTTAGAGGAAGGATAACTTGATGTGCATAAGGAATGTCTCACATAGGAAATTTTAAAGTGAAATCAGACAGCAGGCCATAAACTCATTTGACAAGCTGATGTCCTCCCACAAACGACAAATCCCCAAATGCATCCCAAGAGATTAAAACGATTCCCAAATAAGTCTTCCCTCCACTTTTAACTTTTGGATTACCACTGCAATTATTGCTGTCATTTTTCCTTCAATGTCTGCATCTGGTCAAACATCCAGAAGGAAATTCTTATTTAGATTTCTTTTTTAGCTAAAAGTCTTTCTGGAGCCACCAAAACCAAGATGGATTAAAAAACAAACATCATAAGACTTTTAAAAGGTTATTAGCTTTTAAGTAAAGCTTCATATCTGACCACGTGCCTTCAATGGAATCTTAGCAATAAACTTCTTGATTATGACATCACTGGTAGATACAGGAACTATAACATATATGGAACGATGAGACCAGGTTGTAATCAGCCAAAGTAAACCCCTAATGCATTAATATACGTTTCCTACTGAACAACAAATGGAGGGTTAGCTATTGTGCAGTCGGGGTCAGCAGGATGTTTTCGTGTATAAATTAGTCCCATAAACCATATTGCTCGAAATGAAAGTGGGTCAGCTATCGTGCATCTTCCCCCGAATCGCTTTTTATTTCTTTGAGAGTAAAATTACATTTAGCCACAACAGGGCAATTGAGATCAGAGCCCCCGACAAAGATCCCCTAATGGTGTACGGAGCGGAGATTGAATCTGAAAGAGCGCTGCGATGAGCTCGGAGATGGACTGGAAGTTTCCTCCTCACTGTTCCGTCTGGGATCGATAGCGCTATCTCCTCGCCCTGACCTTGGGTTGACTTGGGCATTAGAGTGGTTAGCTTTGGTCAGCTCGTCTTCTGTTACAATTAGCAGGAAGCTTCATCCCACGTTGGCATAACCACCCCAGCTTCCCTCCGCCGGGGTCAGGTTTCGCTCATCTTTTCCCTCTTCTGCAAAGGAATCCATTAAAATCTCTCCGCTGGAAATCCACATTTCGCTTAAAAGTGTTTCCTGCTGAAAGATGACACGGCAGGTGAAGGGTGCAAAAAAGGAAAAAAAAAAGGGGATG